CCCTAAACCCTAACCCTAACCCTAACCCTAACCCTAACCCTAACCCTAACCCTAACCCTAACCCTAACTAAATGGTTCTCGCAATGGCTGCCCAGATGACATGTGAACCAGCACAGCAAGCGCTCGGAGAAATTGGTATGCCTGCTCTTGGTAGAGCTTGCGTGACTTGCGGTTGAAGATGAAGGGCACTGCTGACTTGTCGAGGAACAATGCCTGCAGTGCTGGTGTGCGCTGGATACTCTGCACCAGAGCTAAGTCAGCGCTGCCTAGGAGGACCTTGTTTGCCTCGTGCTTGGCAAAGAACCAGCCTGCATTCCGACGGTCAAGATCATCCTTCAGCATAGTTGCCTGCACTAGCAGAGGACCGTGCAAGCCAAAGAGCAGCTCAACAGATAGAAGATGTTGTGCTCGAGCCATCTGGAGCTTGAAGAGTGCCGTTACCTGATCCAGCTTCAGGTGAATGCCCTTAAATGTGACGCCAAGCTTGTCTTCATCCCAATGAGCCTGCTGCGGGCCAACTTCCTGCTTGGATACCTCAAAGCAAAGTGAACGCCAGTGAAGCACCTCACCAAATGCAGTCTCCTTGTCCGGCTGCAGGAAGCAAGAAACAGTGCTGTTGATGGACTCAAGCACCTGCACGCTGTCCGCATCTCCTGAAACTGCATCTTGGAAGATTAGCAGCTGTGCAACCCAGATCATTCCTGAAAGTATGCTGCTGAAGGATCCTGCTGACTGCCACGCACCGCTCTTGGCCTCCACAGCATGCATAGCGGCAAAGCTGAGGACCAGTGAGGAAAAAGGCTCTGTGCCGGTGTTGTGCATGATGAGTGTTGCAGAAAAGACTGCTAGTGCATCTTTGAGAGCATTGTGAATGACGATGCCAGTGCTTTCTTCCAAGACTTGCTCCCAGCTTGCTTTTTGATCCAACATTGGAGTGACAACCGCCTCTGGAGTCTGGTGATTGCCATTGTGCGTGTTGTGCAAGCTGAAATGCTGCTTCTCTTGATGAACAATCCGATAGTAGTATACAATTAGTTGCTTCCAGTGCCTAAAGTATCTGTCAAGTGTCTCGGGAGCTTTGATGGGATCCCAAGCCCGATGCTTAGTAACCGGCATGTCAGCTGTGCGGAAGCGGCTCAAAGCAAGCCTGT